GGGCTCATTGATAGGGGCTTCAGTTGAGTCCATGAGCACATTATAGGACTGACTCATTGATAGTACTGGCTCATTGATTGCGGCTAGCTCTTCAGTTGAGCCCACGAGCACAGCGGTTCAGTAACGACTTTGTCTAGAGAGTATTCGTATCCTTTTTTTTTCTTTACTCAGGGTCATAACTGCCGTAGCGTGACCCCGGGGTCACTTAGGTGGCAATAAGAATGCTCTCCCCGTCGAGGGTGGCGATAAGTAAATGAGGATGAAAGGGGCGGATAATTAGGGAGTTAATAAATGAAAACAACACAGTGTCTGAGATTATATGATAACTGTATCATTGATTTATTCACGTTAGTAGACATTAGCAGACTCTTTGATAGTCAGTCAGGAGTCACTCGACTCCGTACCTAAAGCCAGTTAGTAGAGATAAAATATTTTATATTATTATAAAACAGTATATACAAGGAACTCTCCTGTACTTGACAAATTTCTATTTACAATGTCTGTTTACGTCAAGTTTAGGTCTAGTTGACTGCGCTGCCTGCCATTTTGTTACCACACTTAAGGTTAACCATTTCAATCTTTCAAACCAATATATTTGTTTGTAAGATATTTTGTTTTCTTTAACTTTAAAAATGAACAAGTTCGCTGTTTTACAATATATACATTTTGATTTGCATTTAAAATACATTTATACATACATCTTTGTTCAAAATATAACATGGTAATATTTTTAAAAAAAACAAAACAAAAAACTATGATATAAGGAGGAATGTGCATGTATGTATTCGACGTTTAATTAAGCCACAGAAATGGCCGTCAGAAACAGTAGGCAGACGACATAAGTATGTGCAGCAATGAGGGGAAACCCCCAAGTGGGCCATGGTAAGAAGAATACTTCAGGACAATGGTTGTGACCTCCGGTCATGACAAAGTAGCCGTCTGTTGTTAAGTTGATGAGTGGGGGGGGGGAGAGTTGTCAATGGAAAATATGGGTCAAGTTTTTTGGTCATTATTTGTATTTACAACAGCAAATAAATATTTTTTGCGCACCATGCAGGCAGAGGTATATTTGTGCGCACCATGCAGGCAGGATTATATTTTTGCGCACCATGCAGGCAGAGTTATATTTTAGCGCACCATGCAGGCAGAGTTATATTTTTTGCGCACCATACAGGCAGAGTTATATTTTTGCGCCCCTTCCTCCAATAAATCCTCCGGTTGGTATTAATTATTATTCATGTTAAAATGTGCTTGTTTCAGTAGTCAGAAGATTAGAATCCTTCAACAGCAATCTTAATGAAACGAAAGTAAGTCATGATTATCGTGTAGATGTTATATAGAAAAACAGTTTGAAGTTTAAATGGCTTTTTATAGGGGCGTAAATGTAACTCAAAACATTCTGACTTTCTGCATGCCGTTACAAAAAAAATTATAAATTAAATTTTTTTTTTTAAAATGTGGCTTTCTTTATGAATAGTCCATTATTCTACAAGCCATTTTTTCTGGCTTTTGCGGTGGCAAAGATGTAATCTCCATTTTCTGCATGGAGCCCTAATTTATCATAGAAGACATTTCTTCGCGTAATTTAAGTCCAACAATGCCTGAGATGTTCCCATTTGTTAGTAAGTATTATAAATCGGCTATAAGGTCTGCAAACTACAGATTTTCAACAATTCCCTACGAGATAGTGTTTCTTATCTTTTAACATTGTCGCTACCCTGCTTCATTTGCCTCAATCGTTTTTTAAAAGAATCAATAACAGTAACCACTAGGACAATTGAAATTAATTCAACACACGGCAACAGATTTACTGATATTTAATTGATTACTTTCCTTAATCAAGATGCCATTTTCTGAAAGTTCATTTGCTGAAATATGTGTGCCTAGAAAACCCATTTTTCTCTGAATTCCCCCCCCCCCCACTCCTTTTTTTCTTTCTCTCCATAAGTCTATAATAACCGATAAAAACTTTATTTTTTAAATCAAGTTAAAGAAGAAATAAGTTAACAAAATGTTCCCTTCCTTTTTCAACCAATTTTTTTTGTAAAATTTAAAAAAAATAATAATAAATACATTAATTAAAAGTTCATGTTTGCAAAATAAATCTAGTATTCATATGCCATTAAAAAAAAATTAAAAATAAATAAACTATATATATGTCTATATATATATAATACCATTAAATCTGCTAAGCATCTGCAAAGACTGAAAAGCTCGCTTAAACACACGGAGCTCTCAGGACCGTGCCACCCAGCCAAAGCAATCAAAGACTCATTGTAAATTGAAAACGATTTTTAAAATAATCTAATTTTAATTATTATATAATTCAAAGTGCCGTACTGTTTGTTGCATTTGAAAAAGTAACCATTCCACTAAATTGTGCATCAAGGGTTTCAAACAGTTAGTTGAATTAAACAATTTAAAAAAGATTGGGTTACAGATATCCAGTTGTTTTATTCAAATAGCTTGCTCTTCCTTCAGAGTACTTCAGACAATTCGTTTGTGGAAACTAAAACGAAAATTCACAGAAAGATTCGATCAATGCCATATAAAATTCACCATTTGTATAAAATTAGTTTCCGAGAATTTAGTGTTCAAATCTTTTGGTTTGAGATCAAAATAGCGCCCTTAGAATTTAGCGCTTCGGGGTAAAAAAAAATTTAAAATAAAAGTGAACCCCATCAAGAATAAGACCACACAGAACAAAGCCAAATACAACTAGATTTGCAATTTTGTATTTTACTTTTTTTTGGTGGGTGGGGGGGGGGGTGGTCGGCCGGGGGGTGGGTGGTGGTTTAGGCTTTAAAGA